CCCACTTGATGAATTTTGAAAAAAAAAAAAAAACATTTTCATATCATAATTGTAATTAGTATAAATTAATTATTATCCACAGATTTTGTTTTTTAAATTACGTTAAACATTTGTATTAGTTTGACAGCCCCAGTATTGACCAACATCCTTCTTTGCTCCAGGTCTCTGGTTGGGACAGAGTTGCTCCACTGAGCTGCATACTTCTGACCCAAACAAAGTCCAGGCGGCCACAGACGGGATCGGACAGCAGCCCTAAATCGCCCCCTGCTGACCCAACACCACCTGTCACAGGAGGACACGGCTGTGAGCGGAGGATGGACCGTCATCACAGTCTTAGGAAATCCATACCATTGAACCAGCAGGTGGACCCACTGAGTGACTCCGCTGTCTGTGAAGCACCAGTGTTTAATGGCACACAGGGCAGAACGTCACACATCCAACTAGAAGTGGAAGGTCGTCTCAGAGAGCCCGCTTTACAGCCTCGCCAACTTTCACCCAAACACTCCAAAAACAAGCCGCCCAGGCCTCGGAGGAACGACCGCAGGCAAAACAACAGCGATAAAACCAGCCACAAGTCAAATAATACTCTGGTGCCCATTACCAACCTAACATTTTTCCCACCCATCAAGCCGCCACACCTGTTACCAAAGGTGAGAGGTCATATTTGGAGTGGCAAAAAGAGCGAGGAGGGGGAAACCCTGGAGGACAAATGTTTCCTGTTTGACAGAAGGAGCGACATGAGACAAGTCAGACTGGACTCTGCCGTGGACACGGACTTCCCTCTGTACCGGACATGTCAACATAACCCAGTCTTGGTCTCAGCCATAAGTCATTCTATCCCAAAAACATCAGTCTGTACAAGGGTGGTGAAATGAGCCTGACCAGAAGGTGGCGCTACAGCTGCTTTACGATATAACAATGTAAAAGTTACATTTTCACAGGTGGCGCTACAGCTGCTTTACGATATAATGTAAAAGTTACATTTTCACATGTGTACCTCAGCCTCTCAGTATTTACATGACAGTGAGGTATGTGTAGGATTCATCAAATTGGATATTTGGAGTTCAGACCATTTTAACCTCAGCGATCGATCGGTCAAATGTGTGGATTTATAAGGACGTGACGGGTTTTTGTTTTAAATGTTTACCAGTGTTTTCAAGTTCTTCCAGTTGTGTAAAAACCAAAGACAGCATATTGAAAAGGATGTAGCCTCGAGGTTGCACATAAAATTCTGTGAATGTAGTACAGTATAGTAGTGAGCATGCTTTGTCCCAGTTTATACCACAAATATTTAATTTTGATATTTTGTGTTTCCCAAACTTTTTTTCCGTGGACCCATTTTTTTCCACAAACCTTCACAACCCAAGTCAATAGACATTATTCGTAAACTCCTGGGAAACATGATGCGAAATGACCCCTCCCCACCCCAAAAAAAACCTCTTGTGACCCACGTGAAGGTTGTGACCCAGTCTTTGGGAAACAGTGTCATAAATAACATATCTCTGATGTTAGTTGAGACCCACGGCCCTCGCGGATCACAGGCACTGGTGGCCCAAATATTGGCCACGTCCTTACAATTAAGAACCACAGGGGGCGAAGTGTTGCTACATTTGTTTTTCTTTCACATTTCAATTACTATTTTACCAGCCATCTTTCAAATGAATCTTTCGTGTCATTGACCAGAAAATAAAACATAAAAAAAAACAAAGAGCATCAATTGATTACCAGAGGTTTATTATCAACATCTGTAGTGCAGCTTTCACATCATCAAGGCAACTGTCAACTCTAAGACCCACAGGCAGGAAAAGTCAAACTGAACTTCAGTTAAAACACAACGTAATTAGCATGCACTCCCTACGCAGGGAAAATAAAGCACACTGACTGATAATCAAACCCCGACAAGGCTTCACATAGTTCTATTTAGGCGACGTCTTCTCCCCACGGTGTCACAGCAAACGGTAGGGAGCAACAACGATGTGTTTCTATTAACCACAAACTAGGCTGACTTATCTCAATATGAGAAAATGTTAAAATGAGAGCGTCAACAATATGAGAAAATGTTAAAATGAGAGCATCAAAATCATAATTAAATGAAGAAAAAAAAAAATCCAAATGTCAGGACATGCGTCGGACACAGTGTTATCTCCTGTACATTCTTCAGTTTCTGCCAACATCTACAAACTGCATCACCATACAGAGAACTGACCATAATTAATATTAAACACATTTTCTTCAACATAATCCAATATAAGAATAAATTAGTGTGCTAGACCACGGATCCTTCTAGAGAAACTACCCAGCCAGCATCTGTTGGTGGGACACGTATAGGTCCAGTACTTGAATGCGGGTCACGGTGACCGTCTGTGCTTCATACAATCAGTCCAACCCTGACCACTTTCACCCATGTGTGACCCACATGAACAGTCCATGTTGGCTGGGTGCTGACGACAGTAAAGAACATTACAATGTTTCATGCAACAGTGAGAGAAAACGACACTAGAGAAAGTATCAAACATGCAGAGAGCAAAGAGTTTGGACAACTCTTGGTTTACCATAAAAAATATTCTCGTGGACGACCGTCTCACAAAGCAGCAAATTCAGAAAACTGATACACGTTCATCGACGTAAGGGAACTCAAATATAGTTTAAGGCACAAACAAAACCAAACGGAAAAATAAATAAGGAGCATTTCTGGTCTTCAACAAAACATGGTCCACATGTGATGTCTGTACAAAGTAGGGCTGTCATTTTTTAACAAAACTAAGGTTAACCTGACTTCTGCTCGGACATGTCTGAATAAGTAAGGTAAAGCAGCAGAGGGCGCTGTATGCGCAACTCGGCTTTTGTCCCTTTTTTCGATCATTAGTTTAAGTAGACAGAGACATGAGTTTGTTTTTTGCTGTAGAAATTGTATTAGTAAATGTATTAGTTATTCTGAGCAGCCAAAATGACCCTAACGGATCAAAGAATTATTTCCTTGGGTGGAACTCCTCAAAAGTGGAGGTAAAAATGCACACTGAAAAAATTCAAAAACATAATCCTCAAAAGTGGAGGTAAAAATGCACATTGAAAAAATTCAAAAACAAAAACATCTTTAGTGAAGATCGAAAATAAAATGGATTTGGTGTAAGGTTGGTTATAAATCTGACTTTTACTCAGGTTATCAAATTCGTTATTTTAAAAGGCAAAAATACCTGATCAAATAAAGTATTACGCAGCTTGAAGCTTGACAAAGATGTTGGAGACACCCGAGAGACGTAGCCTAACCCTAAAGTTTTGGTAACTGAAAATAAAAATCCAGGCAGGTTTTGAAATTACAACATCTTTTTGACTTACACTTAGATTAATGAGCATGTGCAAAAACAAAACAGCTAATCATACGCTAACGTAGGTCCTACAACTAACCTTCTAATGTTCACGACGTCATGTAAATTTAATGTGACCTTGATCTTCAGGTAAAATGACAGCCCCAGTCTTTAAGGTAACTCAGTGCAATAGCTAAAGAAACGACAAGTTAACACGCACGATATTCTGTAACATGTATGTTCAACAGCCCTGTGCTAACGCTAGTTTTGAAGCACTAAACATGTTCCTGTACAGCTAACGCGACCGCGGGCGTCGAGTCGACACAGAGCACAGCTACTGTACACACTCACACACCCAGCT